AAATCGCCATCGTCGCTAGTCAACCGAACATTCTCTTGTCACTTTGGAAAGAGTTGATAGGATTTTAATAATCATCATAATTATTATTTATTAATAAGAATTATTAATTATTATTATTGTTATTATTCCAATTTTACAGATGAGGAAATCATGGTCTACTTTAATTAAGCCTTGAGATCAGAGTCTAAGATATAGTTACACTAGCTGGTGGTAAGTGATAACACCAAAATCCAGTGGCTTAAATTCCTCTCTCATTTATACTAAATCTAGATGATGACTGTGCTCCACGTAGTCATTCAGGAATCCACATCTCTTTTATGAGATTCCGCCATCCCTGAGGCTCTCAGAGTCTTTCTATTCCAACTGAGTATGGGGAAAATGTCAAAGGGTTCCCTGAGAAAGGAGTTTCAAAGGCTTCCGACCACATCTCACTGGCCAGAACTAAGTCATGGGACCATGCCTAACTGCAAGAGAGTCTGCAAAAACGTGTTTGGCAGAATGTCTCAGAGAGAAGGGAGCCCAGAACATTGCCACTGCCTCAGAAGGTGATAGAGTCTCTGATAATGCTCTAGTTTCTAAATCAGGCCACCACATAAGTAGTGATTTCAGTAACCCATGGCACACCTATGAAAATGCCCAAAATGCAGAGCGCTGACACCACCAAATGCTGACAAGGATGTGAAGCAACAGGAACTCTCGCTCATTACTGGTGGGAATGCAAAATGGTACAGCCATTGTGGAAGACAGTTGGCAGTTTCTTACAGACCTAGTCATACTCTTACCGTGCAATCCAGCATTCATGCTCCTTGGTATTCACCCAGTGGAGCTGAAAACCTATGTCCACAGAAGAAGCTGCATGTGAAAGTTTGCAACAACTTTGTGTGTAATTGCCAAAACTTGGAAGCAACCAAGGTGTCCTTCAGTAGGTGAGTGAAAATAAACAGTGGTACATCAGACAATAGAATATTATTTATTATTCAGTGCTAGAAATAAATGACCTAGCAAGCCATGAAAAGACATGGAAGAACTTAAATGTGTATTACTTAGTGAAAAAAGCACTCTGAAAAGGCTATACACGGCATTGTTCCAACTCTATGACATTTTGAAAAAGACCATTCTATGGAGACAGTAAAAAGATTAGTATTTGCCAGGGATTAGGGAAATGAAGAGATGACTAAAAGCCCAGAAGATTTTTAGGGCGGTGAACTATTGTGTATGATACTGTATGGGAAATACATGTCACTTATACAGTTACAAAAGTCGGTAGAATGTACAACGTCAAGGGCAACCTGACTGTAAACTATGGACTTCGAGTAGTAGTGACGTGGCCGTGTAGGTTCATTGATGGCAACAGAGGTACCACTCGGATGGGGGAGCTTCATAATGGGGAAGACCAGGCATGTGTGGAGGTAGAGGGTCTATGAGAAATCTCTGTACCTTCTGTTCAGTATTGATATAAACCTAAAACTGCTCTAAAAAAATAAAATCTATTTTTAAAAAGGGGGGGAATGACTCAGGGAAGGGTAAAAACTCAGATCTGCACAGGTTAATTTCAAAGAGCCTGTGAGATATTTGAATGAGATTGGATTCCTAGTTCAGGATAAACTGGAGCCAAAGTGGGAGGCACTGTGAGCCCCTCCAAGAAATATAAGTCTAACTGGTCTCCATTCTCAGTCTTGAAAGGCATCACCCGAAGGGCGATCAGTGGGCCAAAATGGAGCACATCGGATCTGGTCTCATCACCCCTGTGTACTTTACAATCGTCCCAGCCAAGCAGAAGCATCGCTACGGAATGCCACCTGCTAAAACAGCCAGCGGGACATGTGGCTCAAGTCTCATTTATTTCAAAATTCTCCAAGGGGAGAGAACAGCAAGAGCCTGAAGTCTGGGAGCGCGACGTCCATCCTTCCCTCTTCAATAGACTTTCTCCTTTGCCTCCTTCATAAAGCCGCAGTACATTTGAGTCACTCGTTGGACTTCCCTGGTTCCCTCATTTATCAAACTCACAATGAATAGAAGAGATGCCAAGGGCTGCAATCGTATAAAGAAGCAAGGGGGTTTGATCTCAGCATGGGAAGTAAAGGTTTCCGGCAATCTGAGCCTGTCTGAAGGCAGCTCTGCCCTGCTCAGAGGAGCCTGCAGGAGCTGCTCTGCTCAGCTGAATCTGAAGCACAGATGTCAAAGAGATGTCAGTGCCATTCTTCCTTAATGATGTGTACAGCAACTCCTACTGCCCCCAACAGCCAACAGGCTCAGTTTCTAGAGCAGGGTCATTTTTGCCCTCTGTTCCTCACGAGAACAGCTCTGCCTGAATCCTGGTTTCAACTCAGCCAGCTAGTGTAGACCACCTACTCTGTTTGGGCCTTGTTAGCACAGTGGTAAGATGTCTGTCCTCCAGAGGTGCGTCTACCAAGGGACGTGCAGATGAGGGTGATGACGATGGTGATGTGATAACCGCAGCGTTGCAGTTGATGGTGAAGGTGGGAGTGGATGTTTATGGTGTCCAGGTGGCATCGGGAAGGAGGTCCAGGAACACTTTAATCCAACTCTGCTGCTCCCCACCCCGCTCGAGTTCCAAAGCAAGGATGCTGCCTGCAAGGAGCTAAGCTGAAGCAAGGACGCTCTTAGTACCAACAGCTCCTCCCCTCCTCCCAGTTCCCTGAGAGTAGCACTCCCTGGCTAAACCAGAAGTAAAGCAGGCAGCTTATGTTAGAGGCTCTAATGAGCCTCTCCCCCAACGGACCGCCCCACTTCCAAACCTGCATCTTGGGTCAGCTTCCCCTAGGGCTGAGCCACAGAGAGAACTAGGCCAGGCTCCTGAGTACATTCACTCACACAGCTTCCGGTGGGGGGAGAAAGCAGCCTGCCATGAAAGCCAGGCACCGACTGAGTCTAGAAGGCCAGTAGGCCATGGAGAGCCCTGGTTCTCAAGAATTAGCATCTCCTCCTTCTTGGTTGGAGCTTGGAAGGGGAGTGGTGCCTGGGGAGAGCACCTGGAAGGATTCCTTCCTCTACAGCTCTCCTGTTGTACACGGTAACGCTGCTGTGCTGTGGGGTAAGATCAGACATCAGTGGGGCAAAGCCCTCCTTGGTGCACACCCAGCACAGGAGGGCTCTGTGGGGGGCCCTGGAGTCAAATTCCTTCCTCCACAGCTCTCCTGTTGTACACGGTGAGCCAGTCCTCAAGCCAGGGCTCTAAGAGACCCCATGCCTCAGCCAGCATTACAGCTGCTGTGCTGTGGGGTAAGATCAGACACCAGTGGGGCAAAGCCCTCCTTGGTGCACACCCAGCACAGGAGGGCTGTGTGAGGGGCCCTGGAGTCAAATGAGGGAGCCGTCAGTTTACCCAGGAAAGTGATGGGGTGAAGCCACGTCACTGGGTCTCCCAACTGTGATTATAGAAGGAGCGTTCCTGGAGGGGAACTCTGGATGAGGCAGGGAGTCCAGGTGAGCCCCTCCAACAGCAAGCCTACCAGAATGCAGAAGCACACGGTGTGTGGGACCCGGGCCTGGAACCAGACCTCGGAACAAGCCAGGACCCAGTTGTCCAACAGAGGAGTTCTGACTCTCTGTAGATGCTGGGGATCCACATCAGAGGCTTTCAGGAAGCAGCGATACCATCCCACAGATGAGCAGGCAGTGTGGAGGCTTGGAGAGGCTGCAGGCGTGCTGATGGACAAGGAAGAGGCCAGAGAGAGGGCTTGACAGTGTGAGGAGCCCTTAGAGCCTGTCCAGGAGGAGTGACTGTTTAGATGACAAAGTGGGAAAGAAAGGGAGAGAGAGGATTCTGGGGGATAGTGTGGGGTCCCTGGATGATTGTGCATCAAGATAAGAGTCAGAGGGAAGGAGGCAGGACTGCACAGAGGGAGGGAGGATGCATGGGCACGCCAGGACTGCCCAGCACTGGCTGAAAAAGGAATGCATGGCATCTGCTCTGGGGCGCATGTTTGCTACCATTTTAACACCTCTGAATGTGGAATGCATCCTACGATCGATGGTTCCAGGAAGTCATATACGATAGTTTACTTGGCAGCATGTTCTCATTCTTAGTGGTGCATCAGAAACACGTCTTCACAATCAACGTCATCTTAGATGATACAAAATGGTCTTGATGAATTGGCGGAGATGGCTGTGGGACACATGCACGTCTGGAACTATGAGTTCTCCTCTGCTTCGTGGCATGTGTATGGCTTTTAGCACAAGTTCCTGTCTTCCTAGGACTCAGTGTCATTCTCTCTGAAGTGGAGCTAGGAATGCATGCAGCAGCTTTTGCTCAGAGTGAGAGGAGCTGGCCTGGGCTCCCTGTTAAGCTCAGGAGGTCTGGTGTGAAAGCTGCTCTAGGATTAAACCATGTTATAGTCCATTCTCCCTCTGAGCGCTGTATGCATTGCCTTTCCAAGAAAAAGTCCCTCGACAACCCAGATGCCCATCAGCTGATGAGTGGGATTTTTTCCTAACGTGCATCTCCATATGGTGGATTTGTAGTCAGCCTTCACGAGCACCTAGCACTGGTCCATGCTGCAGCCCGGATGAACCTCAACAGCGGAGGACCACATATTACGTAATTCCATGACTGTGAAATGTCTAGAAAAAAACAAATGTAGAGACAGAAAGTGGATTAGTAGGTAGAGGGTTGCCGGGGGTGGAGGGTTGAAGGGTGATGGAGAAGGAGCGCAGGGTTTCTTTTTGGAGCAACAAGAAGTGTTCTGAAATTGAATGGGACGCAATTGCACAATTCTGTGAATACGCCAAAGTCACTGAATTTATACTGTAAATGGGCAAATTGTATCTCAGTCAAATGCTTTTTCAAAAGTCATTCTGGGGACCAGCAGATGGTGTAACAGTTACGTTGCTGGACTCCCACCTGGCCTACCATGGTTCAAGTCCCATCCTCAGTGGTTTAAATCTCACACTGGGCGTGTGTGTGTGCATGCCCAAGATCCCAGGATGAGAATGGAGGAGAAGGCATTACGGTATGGCCATCCCCCAGGGGTGATTTCTCACTTTTCCTCTCACTGTCTTTGTTTCTCTCTTTCTGGAGAGCACACACACCCGAAGCCAAAATCCTCTAATAAATGAATAAATGAATAAATGAAAAGCCACTCTGTCTGTGTGTTAGAGGCCTTCTCTTTCTCCCCAACTGGCAGGTGAGTCCTGAACATTTCCAGGTATTTATCTAATCCATGGAGTTGGGGCATAGGAGGGGGATCCTGGAACCCAGGGTGGAATCACAGCTCTCATGTGGAGTGCTGGCCAGTGACACAGGAGGCCTCCCAGGGAGAGACATCTCAGAATGAAGGGCCCATCTCTCCTCATCACCCTCCCACCTTGCACTTCCCACCCTACTAGGGAGTCGGCTGCAGTGGAGGGCTCGCGGCAGAATGTTACAAAGGGAGAAGGAAGGTCTGCAGCTTTCTGATTCTCAGCTCTGTCCTTGGGCAGAGCGTTTGTGGCCATAATGAGGCAACAGTGAGGGTTTTCTCTGTGGTGCTGAAGCCCAGCTGCCTGGACTTGAGCCCCAGGTCTCCACCTCCTGAGTGACTTTGGATCCCTTACTTGGCCCCTCCTGTCTCAGCCTTCCTCTCTGTGACAGGAGGACAGAGTACTGTCCTATTTGGCTCTGCCTGTACCCCCTTGCTGTGGTGGTCTTCTTGCCTAAGTATTCAGTATTTAATGGAGGAAAGGTCCTACGATGACAAGAGTGCTAAGGTCAATGAAAAGCATGATGTGGCCTTTGCCCATGTCCCTTAGGGACGCCTTCCTCGGGTCCCTGACTGCAGAAGACCTTTCCGTCTTTCTTTGGACATTTATTCTGTTTTTATTAAGTAGGGTTTTTTCTATTTATATTTTGTATTATATCACAATTCTTTTTTTTTTTTTAAGCTTTTGGTCACCGGGCACATGCACTCACTGGACAGAGAAGAGAGAGAAAATGAGAAGGAAAGTGGGAAATCATCCTCTGGGGGGATGGGCATGCCACAGTCCCGTCTCCATTCTCCTCTCAGGATTTAGGGCATGCATAAACATGCGCCGGGCATGATTTTCAAGCAACCATGCTTGGGACTTGAACCATGGTCAGCCGTATGGGAATCCAGTGCCCTAACCAGAATTCCACCTGCTGGCCCCTATTTATATAAATCTTTATTATGACTTGTCATTCTGTCATCAGACTATATACTCCATGAATTCAGGTACCGTGAGCGCTGGGTACACAGCTGTGTTTGACTGAATGAACAGATGAATGAAGCTTACTAATTTTTGTTCTGAACAATGTCTGTCCCTTGCTCTGTGGCCTGGCAGGGGTGGCACAACAGCAGAGCAATGCTCTGCAATCTGGAAGCCATCTGCAAGATCAGGGTCTGGTTCCCGGGTCACTCTGTACACAGGAGAGCATATGCCTATGCCTGTGGTCATGGCGGCGGGAGGCTGGGGGAGTGGCACCATGCAGGACCCTGTTGAGGGTGCTTGTCTTCCTCTTGACAAAAATAAAATAAAATAAGCAAATATTTTTTTTTAAATGGGGCCAGTTACATCACCGAACTCCCACATGGCCGCCTGTGGTTCGAGTCCTAGACCCAGCTCGAAACTCATACTGGGTGCATGTATTTGTGTGCCCAAGATCCCAGGAAGAGAATGGAGAAGGAATTGCAGCACAGCCGTCCCCCCTGGGGGGGGGTGATCTCTCACTTTCCCTCTTACTGTCTCTGTCTCTGTCTCTCTCTCTCCTGCGAGCCCATGTCCCTGTGGCAAAATTCTCTACAAAAAGAAAAAAAAAAATAAGCACTTTCTCCAGCTTCTGGCCTGAGGGTCGCAGTTTTCTTCTAGTTCCCCCAGATAAAGTTGGCCTATTAGGCAGAGTCGGCTGCACATGACTCTCTATGGGAGACTCTACGTCAGCTTCAATTCTATTTCTCTCATTTTACCTTCATATTATTGAGGCATATGTGATAAAGTAGTAACTATAGCAGATATATCTACATTTGGGAATAACGTTTACTCGAGTTTCACCCTAACTCACTTATTGAAAATGACATCTTCAAGGTCTATCACCTGGAAATTTACCTAACCCTGGAGTTATTTTTTCTTGGTGTGCATTTGTAAAGTCCTTGTAACCACGGCTGGTTTGTCCATCCATTCATGTGTTTAATAGATCTCTGTTAGCAGCTACTCCGCAGATGTAGTCGGCTATTCAAGATGGGAGCACTGATTGGAACAGAAAGAGGCCCTTCTCTCCTCCTCCACCCCATCCTTACCACCTGTGAAGAATTTTTACTGACAGCCTCTTCCTAGAGCCTTCTGAATCCTCATCTTGTTCTCTCCCTTTTCTCCTGAATCGCTCTGAGAAACTTAAACATCTTTTCCCTCCGTTAGGCGGGATAATTCACTTCTCTCCAGCTTCGGCTTCATCTAACACTATTCACTTCACTTCTCTACACCTCTTGCTTCATTTAACAAGATCATTCTTTCCCTCCCTTTTTTTTCTTTTGAAAGAAGTTGTAGTTATAGATAGAAAAACAAAATGCTTTGTTGCATGATTATTTGTCATCTCAGGACTTCAAATCTTCTTTATGGATTTTTGTTTCCCAAGAGAATGTGGTAGGAAGGAATTTCTCAGTTGTTTTATCCACATTTATCCTGTGAGTTTAAAAAAAAAAAAAACAACTGGAGGGATTACCAAAGGAAAAGAGGTGTCTGTCCCTCTTTTGGGCCATTGGATTTGGAAGAATGCTGGGGGAGAGTATAGCCATTAACAAACATGACAACTGAGCGGCTTGCCTAATCAAAGAGTTCATTGTCAGCTTCAGGAGAGGCATGATCCAGCAGCTCTAACAAAATGACTGGAGTCTCTTACACTTTGGCTCCCTGAGAATGGTTTCAGTCTCACAGGTTCATGACTGAAAGGTGCATGCCAGTAATATCCTGGGTCATGTGCTTCCATACTCAATTTGAGTGATAAGAAAGAAAATCTGCCTTACTAATTAATGACCTAAAATGGTGGGCTCTGACTGGCTTGAGTTGAGTTGTGTACTCATTGCTAAACCTATCACTGTGGCCAGGCTTAAGCCTAGAAAGACTCAAGTCTGTAGTCAGGGTAGAATCGATCCCTCCTGCACTTCAGCAGCTGGACATTCAGGCATACTTGGTAACGGGGACTAGAAAAGCAGCCGATCTACAGACACCTATCGCAAGTCTCTTTCAAGGGCATGGTCTTGGAAGGCCACATCAGCAGATAGACTTTGAAGTATATATGGAATTTCAGAAGGCAGAATGGAGGATCAGGAAAATGAAGAGGTTTGGAATGTGTTCCAAGTGGAGAGAAGAACATAGCCAAAGGCCCATGGACAGGAACACAGAAATCCCTGGGGTGAAGGAGAAGGAAGATCTACAAAGTCTGACCAAGTCTGATGAAGACTCGTGATCTGAGAAAGGGAAACGACAGTGAGCCTAGAAAGCTGTGGGAGCCCTGACCAGATGGCTATGGAGACGGCCTTTCTCTTGAGGGCAATGAGAAGCCCTTGAGGCACTGTGTTCAGGACAGCAGCATAGTCAGGGTTAGGATTTAGGAAAATCACTTGGGCAGAGCTGAGTGAAAATTAGTGGGAGAGACCAGAGGCATTGCAGAGGCTACCAACCCAGCTAGTAAAATCTTCCTTGGAGAGATGCAAACTGTTTTCTTGCCCCAGCTATTGGTCAGAGATGTTGGACTAGGAGCCTAAAGTCTCCAAAAAGCATTGGATCTGAGAGTCACGAGCAGAGTAATCCAAGGCATTGGACCTGGGTACACCCTCCAGCTCTGGTACTTCTTAGCTGTACGACATGTCAAGTCCGCTAAGCTCTCGAGCCTCAGCATACTCAGGACATGCTGGCGTGGGTCCCAGATCCTGTAGCAACAGGTCCTATGTGTCCCACACAGCCTTGATCTGCACAGATGGACAAAGCCAAGCAGACCCAACCACCTGCTGCTTGTCAAGATAGGCCGAGGGCAAAAGATCTCTTCTTGGCCTTCCAAGACACATCACCCCTCCCGAGTGTCCAAGACATTGTGGCTAACTACTTGCCCCTCAACACCCTATTCTTCCATCTGACTTGCCTAGACCCCAGGCTGATCTGAAGCAACTGGTCTTCCTTGGGTTGAGGTAGGCTATTTTTTTCTTTTCAGCTCATGTGTCACTTTTATTCTTTTAAAAATGTTTTTTCCTGTTGAGATGTGTGGAAAGATCAAGGCCTAGCTTTGAGAAGCAGACCTCACCACTTAGTAGCTCTGAGACTTCGGACAAATGTAGAGTTGGCGAGTGTCACACGAGAGAATGTCTGTGAGATGTCCCACACATATAAAGACAGAGCACTCAAGCATTGGCACCGCAAAGAGCAATGAGATCCTGTAAAAAACAGGCCAATGATTCACTATCTTAACACAGAATTTTATTCCTCTTTCCAGACAGTTCTTAAGTGTCAGAGCGGGGACTAGGTTGCTGGCCTTCGGAGGTGGTTGACTATGTGGCAGAAGCAGAGACTCACCTTCTCTTGGTATCAGCCACTTGGACAGTAAGGGAGAACAATAAAACCATCAGGGAAGGATGAGA